CTTAGTCTCTCTGTCTCTGTCTGTCTTTCTCTGCTTGTTTGCCTGTCTGTCTGTATTTCTCTTTCTCTCTCTCCCTCTCTCGTTCTCTCTCTCTCTGTATCTCTTTCTCTCTCTATATATACACATCTTTCTGTACCTCTCTCTCTCCCAGAAGTATTTTTTTGCTCACTGAAGCGACATCTGCACTGTCTCAACGTCGCTTCCTCCTTGAAACAATAATCTTCTCACCTTTCGTTTGTCTTTTTTCCAATCTTTCCCTCCGCCGTGCTTCAACCCCCCTCCCCCTCCCCCTCCCCCCAGCCCATCCTTTCTCCTGTGGCCTTCCACGCACGCACACACACACACACACACACAAACACACCTGCTCCCCCTCTCTCCCTCTCGGCCCCTCCTCTCCCCCTCCCCGTTCCTCCTGCTCCTCCTCCTCCTCCTCCTCCTCCTCCGGCTGACGAGTGTGGTGAGGAGCTGTTGACGGCCGGTGGTGTTTCTGACGTGACGCCGCCAGTTGTGCTGCTCCTGGGGGGCCCGCGTCCCGACCCTTGCACCCTTCCTGTTGGCCACGACCTCGCCCTCGCTGTTCTCTACTGCGGGAACACGGCTGGCCTGACTCTCCCTCTCTCTCTATGCGTCACTTTGATGGAGCACCGTATCACATCAGCGAATGAAATGTTATGAGGGATATGATTCTTCGGGAGAATAATGCAGGGATACGGATGTTATTTTTTTAGAACTTTTTTTTTTTCTTATGCATTTTAGAGGCATGGAGAATCGTGTTCACAGAAAGGGAAAAAAAGAAAAAGAAATGCTGCAGTTGTAAGGTAAGGCAGTAAGTCTCTTATTGATGGATGTTTGCATAAGTTCACAGATGAGAGTGACTGTATCTAAATTATGTGCACGGGGTGTGTTGTGCGGGGCGGCGGGGGGTGTGTGGAGGGCTGGGGTTAAGTGTAATGGCTCACAGCGGGGGGCCTCACCGGTCGAACCCCTCCCCCTCTCTCTCCCCTCCCCCCTTCTCCCCCCACCTCCCCCCACGAGACTACCAGGACCACCAAAACCCTCTGCCACTGGACTCGTCCCTTCGACCAGCGAGATCTTCGTCCATTATATCTTTCTCGGAGGCCGGACCTGTTCTTTCTTTTTTTCTCCTTCGTCCGCCGCGGGAGACGGTGTGCGAAGTCTCTCCGCTGGGCTTTGTGGGCTAGAAGAAGGAAGGACCTCTCACTTGCACACTGCTGCTTGGCGGAACATCTATATCTGGTTTCCTTGTTACTTTTTTTTATAATCTGTTACAGTTCTGATATAAACTTGCGATTCGTACCTTTACTTTTGTGATGATACGTTCTTTCTACACCTTCAGAGATGACATTGCGTAGCAGCTGTTTCCAACGACGAGAAACTGGCCGACAGTAGCGCCGTCTCCTCAAGGGCCGCTGTGACGGGTCTTCATAACATTCCTCGGCTTCCAGAAACGCCAGGACGTGGAGCCAACGCTACCGAGACTTTTGCTCTCCTTCAAGGTGCGTTTGCTGAAGGCGGCCCATCAATCATTACAGCTGAGGTTAATTCGCTGTTTGCATGCTTGTTATTTCCCGTCTTCCATCACAGTTATTTTTATTCCCTTTTTCTACGCGCACATTTTGTTGTGGATTCGAGCTCTGTCATTAGCGGCCGCCGGTGGAAATGACGTGCGGAGTTCCAAAGGCCGGTGTTTCTTAAATGAATTCTGGTTGTAAAACGCTACGGATTTGCTCTTTGTCCGTCGTTTTTCCATGTCGCGGTGCCGGCGAGTCATAAAGATCAGCAATCTTATTTACAAGCGCGCCCGAAAGACTTTTAAAAACAAAAAGATCCAACACGGGGACCTACTAGCTAGCGGGGCCTCCGTATGCAAATGTCTTTCTCGTGTAAAACCTTCAAATCTTTTTGTCCGCAGAGACCATCTGGGTGTGTAAAAGCGTCCGTGTCAATTATTCCCTCGCCCGAGAATACTACCCCCCACCCCACCCCCCTATCCATCAGTAAGACATGTCAAGAAAATGTATTCGTGAATGCAAATGATCTGTCTCTTTTCAAATCCGCCATTCGTGCCCGGCATTCAGCGAGGCCAAATGATTCATCCATTTGAATAAAACTTACACTTTTGCATGCCATTCACCGAAAGGGACGCGTCGAGTGTTAATGGTCGTGCTTGGTAAATGGTCGGCAAATGAGATGAGAGACTGGGTCGCCTCCGAGATTCAGAGAGAGAGAGAGAGAGAGAGAGAGAGAGAGAGAGAGAGAGAGAGAGAGAGAGAGAGAGAGAGAGAGAGAGAGAGAGAGAGAGAGAGAGACAGAGAGACAGAGAGACAGAGACAGAGAGAAAGAGAGACACACACACACACACACACACACACACACACACACACACACACACACACACACACACACACACACACACA